ACTTAATTGATAAATTACTTCTTAAGTTACTTATTAAAATTGATATAATTGTATGTTTTAAATTTTAGTTTTATATAAACATAAATGTAGGAGCCAGTATAGTTGCTATCTAGTTTGGGGCTTTGGGACTTTCTAGGGTATTAACCACTATTTGGGACTAGTTAAAGCTGTGGAACTTGTCCCAAACTTACTTGTATGAATTGGGATTTGAAACAAAATTTTAAATATATTCAATATGGACAATAGTTATAATTATTTGAATGGCAACTATAGGAGCTAGTGGCGCTATTACTTACACTTGCTTCTGTTTCTACTCAGTTTTGTCACCTTTCGTCAGTTTCGTCACGTTTTGTCACCTTTCACCAGTTTCGTCACCTTTCATCATTTTGTCATTTGAGATTTTAGTTGACGAAAGACGAAACTAGGTTTTGCATTTCGTCAGCACAAAACCTCAAGGTTTCGTCTAACAACTATAATCGATTACAAGCAATTTAAATTAATCAATTATAATCAATTAGCTTTAATTTGTAATAATAACAACAATAATAATTGATTAAAATCTCTATCGCATTTAATCAATATGGGTGATGATTATTGATTAAAATCATTAGATTTTAATTCGTGATCTACCTAAAAACCAGTAAAAAAACATATTAAACAGAGGGGATATGTTTACTATATATTTTTTATTGTCTTTGGAATCTGGAGTTTCCCAAAGAAAACTTTTTCTTTACTAAACAAACCTCTTTTAAACTTCTAAGTAAACTTGTAGAGGAGTGTCTTGTGATCAGAATGGTAGTTAAAACATTAGTTAAAATCAGCTCAGTGGATCGCGATATATAAGCATTTTAGTCTTCGTGACTATACATTTTCTTCTTTATATAAATTAAGAGAAGTGCATTAAAAATGTAATTGTATCACCCAATGCATAGTACTCCGCTATGCTCCAGATCATATATTCAAATAATTCATTGTTTAAGCCAAACTAATTTGAAAGGCAAAAAATCTGACAAACCCTAAAAGAACAATTTATATACAACGTTTTCAAAACTGTGAAAGTAAATATCAGATAATGTTCTATCTTATATAACTATTTCTTACTGTTATAGGTAGTGGCAGGTGGATAATCAGGATCTCATTATATATGTAAAATGCAATTAAGATTAGCAATTAAACAATGACCATGAAAAAATAAATTACAGAATCAGGTATGGTATCGCACTTTAAAAGTTAGACTAACCTACACAAAATATAGAAGCAGGATGTGAAGATGTAACATGTGAAGTTTCAATATGTATTCACACCCTTACTTTGCCATATGTATATATCCAATAAGATGCAAGGTTTTTGCGCACGAACACCATTTAATTTCCCATATACCATACACTACGTGAAATTTTTAATATCACTCCGTTCCTGGTGTAGATCATCGTGATTGTTACGTGAAAAATTATCTAGTTGAGGGACTATGTATAGATTTGAGCTACAAAGAACATCAAACACCCCCAACGAGGCATTAATGAAATGATAAATTCTAACTATGTATAGGTACAATGGATGAAGATGTTACGTAGTATTATCTGTTATCTTGCATAACTTGAGTCAAATATGAAGAATGTATAAAAGAGATTAACGTCCCAATAGTAAAATTAACATTAGCCCATATTTTACATGAATCGTGATATTTTATTTCTCTATATAAACAATAAAAAAATTGATTTAAAATAATTCTTGTACATATAAAAATAAACCACGTACCTTCCTGATTCAAGTTATTACAATATGGAAATTACAAACGAAAATTATGTTAAGAATATCTTGTTAGTTGGATATACTGGTAATGGAAAATCCTCAATAGCAAATACATTAACTGACACAAGTCACTTCGAAGAGGATGACAGTCCCAACGGCGTAACTAAATGGGTACAATCAGGTGAATTTGAACATGATGGAGAAAAGTATCATGTAATTGACACAATAGGAATTGGTGATACAGAATTATCACAAGAACAAGTATTATATAGTATTTTAAACGATACAATTCAATATTTCGAGGAAGGATTATATCAGATTTTTTTTGTAACCGTTTCTGGCAGATTCACCGAAAATGAGAAAAAAATTTTGAGCTATTCGTAGGAGAAACATTTTTTGGTAAAAAGATGGGTGATTTTACAACTATTATACAAACCAAATGTTCTAATTTCACAGATCTCGAGTGGTGTAATAAGCAAAAACAGAAATTGGGTAACAACAAATATGCATCCGAAATAATTAAAAAATGCAATGGTGTTGTTTTTATCGATACTATCCAGTTCAAAGAAAGAGGAACATTATTGAATTTTTTAACCACTATTGTTCAGCTCAATAAAGGAGAGAAATCAAGAAGAATATTATTGGATTGCTTGAAAACTTGGAAAAAAAATATTTACAAACCTAAAGGATCATTTGCTGATTTCTGTAGAGTGGTTAATGAATTTGATTTGCTTGTTGAAGAAACTAACCAAAAACTTGATGAATATTTTAAAAGTTTTAATGTTTTAAAAGAAAAGTTGCTGAGTCTCATTAAAAATTGTGAAGAAACAATTAATTGTATTATAGCTAATAAGGAATCATTAAATAAAGAGGTAAAAACCTTAGTTAAAAAGAATGATAATGGCATAATTATAAGTGGTTTAAGTACTCTTCTTCTTAGATTTTCCGAAGCTAGTTTTCTTGCAACCATCCTAAACACGGCCATCTTAAATGCCATTATTCTACCACCTATCGGACTATTACTGGCTCCAATGATTCCTTTATATATAGCTGGTTTAGTTTATTGTTTAAATGGGTTATTAGTTGATTTAAAAGGAAAAGGAGATCGTAAAAAATTCAATATTATCATAGAGAAAGATTTCAAAGATTTCAAGGAGTTTATGAATTCTTTAGAAGAAACAAATAAAATTCATGAGGTACTTGTAGAAATTAACGAATGCTTTAATAACTTAACATATAAAAAAGGATTAATTGATCAAAATAAAATCGAAATATTCAAAGATACACTCGGCCAAAATTTTAAAAAAACGAGGCTTGAAGACTATGATAAAAACAATAAAAAGGAATATAATTATTCTGATTTCAATTATATAGAATATTTTAAAAATTATTTTATAGAAATTTTAGGCCGCAATACCTGTAATACCTATATCTGGTATTAGATCATTAATAATCCTTTTTAACAAAAATTTTAATACCCACAAAATACCGGAAGAAGAAGTTATTAAAAAGAAATCTTTTTGTCATAAAACCTTGTTTGATATGGAAGAATTGGTCAAAAATTTAGGTGAAACTTTTGAATATTTTAACAAAATAGATTTATATATAAAAACTAAGATTAACAATTGTAACAGTGATAAAAAGAAGATTGAAAGCATTTTAAAATATAAAAAATTTGATATTAATATAGAACCTTTTGAAGGAGCGATGCTAAATGTAAATGATGAATATAAAATATAAAAAATTATTACAAATTTTTGTCTTTTATATTATCAATCGACTATTAATTATTATAAATCACACCTATGATGTTTTACACCTATTATATGTTTTTATTAAATTTTTTATATTATTCTAAGTTCGTATATAAAATTTTTGTCTCAAATTTTTTACATTAGGGTAGTAATTAAAGTTAAGGTTTGGGAAGGGTTTTTAGGAGCATAGAACATTTTACATAGAATATCTAGTACTAATAATTTGACTAGTTTTGTGATAATGTATACATAGGTGTAAACCACCATAGGTGCGTTTTAGTAAAAGTCTTTAGTATTATATAATAAAATAAAACAAACTTTACTAGTTGTTATTTTAATTTAGTTTTTTACAAATCAATTTAAAAATTTTACTAAATTGATACAAATAAAATAAATCATATCTGGCTAGGTCAAAAAAAAAAAGACCGAGCCAAAAATTTTCATACCGCAGTAAGTAATTAATCAATGAAAATACATGATTATCATTTATTGTAATGTAAACTCTAATTCTAATACAAGCTAACCAATATCAATGCTCCAGAATAATGAGTTTGTAACTGAATTTTTTACAGTAATTCATTGTAGAAATTACGATGAACCCAATGTAAACTAACTTGACTTTAATTACTGATATGTTTTGTAACACATGTATAGTGTGGCATGAAAAAATTTTTGGGAATGCCTCGGGTTGAGACATGTCTCTTTTACTGTGCTCAGGGCATGCCCCTATATATATCATATAAGATCGTGTATTTTTATGGTATCACTATGAAGACATCTTATTTTAGGCCAGGTCACTTTTATAAGTGTTAAAATTAATCTGTTACTGTTATTTTTTTTATTGAATTTTCAACTATGTTAAAAATTTTTCGTGGTATTTAAATATTTTAACTTATAAGTGTTAAAAATTAATCTGTTACTGTTATTTTTTTTATTGAATTTTCAACTATTTTAAAAATTTTTCGTGGTATTTAAATATTTTAACTTTAGGCACAATTTGCGACTTCAGGCACCTGAAGTTACAACTCCATGCATAACAACTTCAGGCACGACAGGATGCCACTTCAATACATTGAACTTTACGAACTAAGTTGGGATCCTGCCAATAGTCCAGAAACCAAATTAGTTCGGGATACTTTAAGATAACTCACAGATGAAAATTTTAACAATGAACAATTAATTAAAAGTGATGAAACATTTATCTGAAATCATGTCACCAGCACCACTACTTTCCATTAACTCTACGGAATTTTACTATAAATCCTAGTTTCTTGGATCAAATAAAAGAAGTGGCTGAATGCTTTGAGCAAGGAAAATTTCTCAAAGCATTAGAACTTTATGAAAAAAAATTCTCAAGAACAACCAACATACTTTAACTTGAGATATCTAGATTAGAAAAAATAAACGAGTTAATAAAGGCACTTTGCAAGAACACAATATTGACTTCTTTGAATCTTGAAAATAATAAACTTGAATCGGAAGGTGGTAAATAGAGTTGGTGGTGCAGGGTACTTGGCGACGCCAATGGTGCACTAGCTGGCACGCCAACGTAGGTATGGTGCAGAGGTGGCGAGCCAATCATATTTAAATTTATTTTATATAAGTGAGCGTGTACGTTTAATATAACATACGCACGTGCATAAAGTTTCTAAGTAACTTTTGAAGGATAGGTTCAGTTTTAGCTCAATAATATTAACGGTAACTTATCGCAATAAGTCACAGTAAGAAATATTATTAGTTAATAAGTTCCCAGTGAATACGAGCGTAATCAAGTTAAAAAGGGGATTAATTCCGAAAGTATAGGGCATGATAACTACAAGATCCAGATGTCTTTGTCGGTGGTAAAACAAAAGATAAATATATGAATCTATAAGCATCATACAATAGTGTAATATAATTGTGCACCGTCAGTACACCACTATAACTATAGCTGCACCACCAACTCTAGCGGTAAAGCATTAGCAGATGCACTTTACAAGAATACCACTAAAAAAATTGGTTATTTATCGTAATAATATTGATTTTACTATAAAATCAGTTAATTCTTGCATAAGAATTGACCAATAAACTGTATATATAGCGCAAGAAGACATAATTAAACACATTAAGTTAGCTTTTAAAAAAGGTTTACTGGTAATTCAAATTTAATTTCATCAAATAAATGAAAATTAATTCATATGCAATATTACGTATTCAATCATATTGCTTGTTGCGAGTACTTATAACTTGCGAATTGATTTTTTTTTACATTGTTGTGTGTCATACTAACTTGTATTATTTATAGATAAACCATTTGTAAAAGATGCCATAGCTATACCTTTTGCGCATATTTTAAAAAATGTAGTAAATTTTTTTTTTGAAAACTGACTTCATTTACAATTTTTTCATAATTGTCAAGAAAGTTTTCAGAATAATAAGCTTCAAGAATTACAAAGATGGTACAATGATATTATGGTAAAATACTCTTATAAAGTTTTGAAATGTAAAAAGTAAAAATTTGAGATCGTATTATAGAATGGGGAATTGCTCAAAATCCTGACTTATCGACAAATTCTAAAGAGTGATCCAATGAAAATTTTCTTACTTTAAAAACCTCTTTACAAATTGGTTGCCTCATAGCCGTTATTTTCAAAAGTCAATACAACATAAAATCCTTGACAAAATCTTTGGAAAGATATAAAAGTTTAACTCTCCAAATCGCAAGTATCATCAGTAATACTTCCGTCTCGTGCAATACCAAAATTACCAGCTAGGATTACTGAAACATTTTCGGAATTGTCAGTGAAACACATACTCAATAACAAATAATCCATATGCTTATTCATGGAACTAGAGATGGTTTTACTGTTAATTCGTTTTTAAATTTATGTGGTAGGCAAACATAACTTTTTGTAGTTAAGGTGCAGATGAGCTTTTGATGATTATAATATATCTTTTGGGTTAAATTGGATGTAGATGTTAAAAAGAATTGTATTGATGGCTTTATTTTTTAATTGAAAAATGCTACTTAAAATTATTTTAAGTCGTACAATAAAATCACATAATATAGAGTTATTGGATGCGAAGCAGCCAATAACGGAAATTATTTGTAAAATAATTTCATTATCTGGCTGTTAAGTTTAATATGTCAGCTTCTGGGCCCCGAAGGGGCCCAGAAATGACATATTAAATTCACTGCCAGATAAACAAGTTATTGGCTGAGTAGCATTCAATAACGGTATTATCAGGCATCTTACGACGACCGAACCAACAAAATGACTCGAGTTCTTTTGGTGATGATTGCGTCATCATCAAATAACGAAGTTATTTGATGATGATGCAATTATCATCAAAATAACTCGAGTTATTTTGTTGGTACGATCATAGTAAGGTGCCAGATAATGCAATTTATTTTATGGTTACTTTGGACCAGATTTTGGTAATGGCTGTGATTTACATTTGTCGAATGATAAATCTTATCATATTTCATCGTATGAAAAACGAATTAGAAATTCATCTATATTTTATAGTTATGTTTTTCAGTAGAAGAATGTGAAGAAGTATTCTAGATTAGTAAAAAAACTAAACGTTTTATAAGAATTATATTACCAATGAATAATTTTATCAATATTGTAAGTAGTAATCTATTTATTATAATTTAAAATAATATATCTTATCTTAAAAGCGGTTCTACCCTGAAATCCCGAAAGCCATTTTCCCGAAAGGACATAATACTGACAAAATTGGCCAGCATTATAACGAATGCTGGCTAACTTTGTCGGTATTATGTCTTTTTCGGGAATCCGTCTTTCGGGATTTTAAAGTAGAACACTTAAAAGCATAAAAATTTAGAATAAATTATTTCATTTAGCAATAATGTTTGTTTATTTCAAATTCTTTCTCAATTACTCATGGAATTGTAAATGAACTAATTTAACTTAATTGAAAATTTTGTTTCCCATCATAAGTTTAACTAAATCAATCTGATATATACGTTAATACGTCGGTTTGGAATCTATGTGGTTGTGATTTGACATATGAATATCATGATCGGTATTATTATACCGATTATTATTATAGAAAAAAAAAATTATAAGAAAACTAGGCGCTAGAGTTGCTTAAAGGGAGCTTGAGATAAATATAATAATACCTGATATTGTATAATGCAGCACAAGGGCCTCATGTTATGATTAGGCTTTATGGTTGCAATAGCTCATG